TTCCTCCAACCACAGGAAGTGGGAGTAATGGACAACCAGAAGGCGTTTTCCTAGAATAAGTCCCTTGGACATGGTCATACAGACTTGGAACCAATTTCTACTACCATATGTTTATCCTTTTGCATCCAACAGTACCAGCCCCGGGGGGTGGGGTGGGGGGTGGGTGAAACGTAACAGAGCCCCCCGGGTGGAATCACTGAGGTGTAATCAATCAAAAAGTTGGTGAAGTAGAGAAGAGCTTCCAAAAGAGCACTTCCAAAACATCTCTGACAGCAAAATCAATTCTTGCTTTTAACAAACTGTTCAAACAAGTCAAACCAAACTAATGCTGCGTTCACATGGGCCGACCGCATCATATGAATATGTCTTAATGAATAACTTGTTTATTTCAAACCTTGTAAAGAAGCTTAGATTCAGTTAGTCTGTGGTTTAATTTTTGTTTTAAGAAGCAGTTTCCTCTCTGATCTAATCTGATTCATTCAGGACGAAAACATTCAGCCAGTGTGAAGAAATAAAGCCACTCAGCAGTTTTCAGTCAACCTGTGATGATTTTCTCCGTCAAACACACTGCGTCTCGTGCAGCTCAACACTGGAGATCACACAGTCTGTCTGTGTTTAACTCTCAGTACTTTAAGAGCATCAAACTGAACCTGAGATTTCATCATCATCTCCTCTGTAGTGGTTGACATATTTTAGTGTTGGACTGACGTCTCTGTCCATCAGACACTTTTCCTTATTTCCTTGATACCACAGCAGTGAGTTTCCCAAAAGACAGAGTACAACTATGACACCACAGTAGACTAGCTGAACATGAGATTTAAATGTTGTACGGGCAGCAGTTTGTGCAGCTGCTGCTGAGCGTGTTGTGATGCAGCTCTATCTCAGCTGTTGTCGGAGGGTTTAGAGGTGAGCACTGCCCTGGCAGGTCGTTTCTCTTCACCAGCGTCATTATTGCACAGCCAAGCAGAACAGGACACAATGGCTTTCACATCGATTTACAGCAGAGAACGAGAGAGCGAGAGAGAGCGAGAGAGAGCGAGCGAGAGAGAGAGAGAGAGAGAGAGCGCTACCATCACAAGATTTTATATCCCGTCTTAATTCCAAACTCTCCTTGTTTGTTTTCATACGATTTCATCAGAACAAAAAGTCTCTGCATATAAAAATATCTTGGCTAAATATTTTGTTCCATTCAAACCTTGTACAGAAGCTGAAACCCAGTTAGTCTGGAGTTTCATTTTTGTTTAAGAAGCAGTTTCCTGCCTGAACATTCTGTTAGTGTTAATCTGATGTCTTCGGCCTTCTGGATGAAAATATTCAGCCGATGTGCAGAAATGAATCAACTCGTTTCTCAGCAGTTTTTCTTCTGTTGTCCCGTCTCTATGGTGGCCAAGACGTGTCAAACAAACCGCAGATCCAAAATGCTTTGCAAATTGTATTTGTAGTTGCATTTCCATCACTGCTGATCGGAGTCAGAGTCGATAAATTCCTGTGGCTACTGCAGAGTCATTTGACCCAGGTGAGAATGCTGCTGTAATCTTTCCCATTAAATACAAAAGCCAGATTTTAGTAGGTTTTAATGTTTTTTTGTGGAGTGGGAAAGGAGTTTTTGTCAACATCCTCTGACGCTCACTTCTGTTAATGCACTTGTGGCTTTCAAGTGTTTTGGATGTGCAGTTTGTTTGCAACGTTTCTGCCACCGTACTTTTCAGCTGCAGGGTGAGAGTGGAGGATGCAGGCTGTGGTGCTGTGTGATACTGACAGGAGGTAGATGTGGCCTCTGCAGTCAGACTGGTTGGTTTACAGTCTGTGTTTGACATGTTGCTCCTGTGAGTTAATGATCTGAGCACTTCCTCCACCTCTGCTGATATCTGACATGGTGTGTGTAAAAGAAGAAGTGTGTTGTAAAAAAGCAGATGTGAGAGTGTGTTCACCTGGTGTTTTCACTTCCTATAAAAACTACTAATAGTTGTGGTCTCAGTTGTTTTAAAGCAGCTGCTCGTTTCACTTCAGCTCTCCAGACCATATTTATCCAAATGTCATTTCATATTTTCAGAAAATTGCAAACGCTGTGCTGCCTTCACAAACTACAGCCTCATCAGTTCAGCTTGTATCAATTCAATTTTTAAAAGTGTCTCTTACAGCTCCTGTGTTTTTCTGTGACACTCAACATTTCCTCTGGATTTCACTAACGAAGTGACGGACTGAGTGAGTGTAGACTGAGGTCAGGCGTCCGAGGGAAAACAGGAAGTGGATTTACCTTCAAAGGTCTGGACATCTGCTGTCTGAGTTAATGGATCACTGATGAAATCTTTTAATCAGTGCATTGATTCTTGTTGTTTCGATCAATAGAAGGTCCTTTTAAATTGACCTCTCATGCCTCAAGGACGCATTGATGTCTGCTGATGATGATGACAGAGAAGAAGAAGACGAGCAACAGCATGTAACGACACAGCAACAAACAGCTGTCTTATTCATTCATTCATTCATTAGCTGTAACAGCTTATCCTGGTCAGGGTCACTGGGGAGCTTGAGCGTATCCCAGCTGACACTGGGTGAGAGGCGAGATGCACCCCTGACACACAGAGACAGACAACGATTCACACTCACATTCACACCGACGGACAATTTAGAGTCACCAATTAACCTGCATGTCTTTGGACTGTGGGAGGAAGCTGGAGCACCTGGAGGAAACCCACGCTGACACAGGGAGAACATGTCAGAGCACCTGGAGGAAACCCACGCTGACACAGGGAGAACATGTCAGAGCACCTGGAGGAAACCCACGCTGACACAGGGAGAACATGTCAGAGCACCTGGAGGAAACCCACGCTGACACAGGGAGAACATGTCAGAGCACCTGGAGGAAACCCACGCTGACACAGGGAGAACATGTCAGAGCACCTGGAGGAAACCCACGCTGACACAGGGAGAACATGTCAGAGCACCTGGAGGAAACCCACGCTGACACAGGGAGAACATGTCAGAGCACCTGGAGGAAACCCACGCTGACACAGGGAGAACATGTCAGAGCACCTGGAGGAAACCCACGCTGACACAGGGAGAACATGTCAGAGCACCTGGAGGAAACCCACGCTGACACAGGGAGAACATGTCAGAGCACCTGGAGGAAACCCACGCTGACACAGGGAGAACATGTCAGAGCACCTGGAGGAAACCCACGCTGACACAGGGAGAACATGTCAGAGCACCTGGAGGAAACCCACGCTGACACAGGGAGAACATGTCAGAGCACCTGGAGGAAACCCACGCTGACACAGGGAGAACATGTCAGAGCACCTGGAGGAAACCCACGCTGACACAGGGAGAACATGTCAGAGCACCTGGAGGAAACCCACGCTGACACAGGGAGAACATGTCAGAGCACCTGGAGGAAACCCACGCTGACACAGGGAGAACATGTCAGAGCACCTGGAGGAAACCCACGCTGACACAGGGAGAACATGTCAGAGCACCTGGAGGAAACCCACGCTGACACAGGGAGAACATGTCAGAGCACCTGGAGGAAACCCACGCTGACACAGGGAGAACATGTCAGAGCACCTGGAGGAAACCCACGCTGACACAGGGAGAACATGTCGGAGCACCTGGAGGAAACCCACGCTGACACAGGGAGAACATGTCGGAGCACCTGGAGGAAACCCACGCTGACACAGGGAGAACATGTCGGAGCACCTGGAGGAAACCCACGCTGACACAGGGAGAACATGTCGGAGCACCTGGAGGAAACCCACGCTGACACAGGGAGAACATGTCGGAGCACCTGGAGGAAACCCACGCTGACACAGGGAGAACATGTCGGAGCATCTGGAGGAAACCCACGCTGACACAGGGAGAACATGTCGGAGCACCTGGAGGAAACCCACGCTGACACAGGGAGAACATGTCGGAGCACCTGGAGGAAACCCACGCTGACACGGGGAGAACATGTCGGAGCACCTGGAGGAAACCCACGCTGACACGAGGAGAACATCCAAACCCTGCACAGAAGGGCCTCGAACCCAGTACACTCTTACTGTGACGCAACAGTGCTAACCACTGCACCACTGTGCCATCCTGTTGCTTTGTTTAAGGTTACTTAAACTTTTAGCAGCTCCAACATGTTTCTGACTTCAGCACAGAACTGGAAGAATTACTCCGATCTTTAACTTCAGTTACAGGAGTAATACGACACTATGAAAATATAAAAGCCTACAAAATCCCAGTGAAGCATTTCAATTGCACAAGTTGGGGTCTGAAAAGTGGCTAAATTTGTCCCTTCATAGAAATAATGTCACCAGGAGAGTCTGAGAAGTTGCTAAATCTAGTGAGACAGTGGCCAACTTGGCACCACTGGTTGTGAGCATCTGTCCACACAACAGAACACAACTTGTCCTTCAACCACAGCAGGATGGAGGACATGACCGCCACAATCAGACGACCGACCGACTGACTGTGTTCATGACAGATATTTATCAACAGTCATTCAGGTGATCAGTGTTTCTGGTCAGATGTCTGTCTTCTGCCTGACTGAGGTGAATTTAAGGGTTAAACTGAGCAGAGTGTTTCAGCATCAGTTAAGGTGTGAAAACAGCCATCTGTCACCGTCCACCTCCGCACTGTTGGCTCAGCAGACATCACACCTGCTCTGTGGAGGAGGATGAGCTGGAACAACATGACGACAACAGAGCGAGTCCAGCGCCGGATGCAAGATGAGCTGAGGTCACGTGACATACACACACACACACACACACACACACACACACACACACCCTTGTTTGTCCCGCTGATCTGATTTTAGAAACATTTTGGTGTTTGATTCAGTCACAGTTTAAAGTCTGATGCATGAACTTTCTTCACTAAAAACGAATTCAACATCCTCTTTCACACAGTATTCTCTCGGGTCATGAGACACGGAGGGGACATCTGATTCTGGACTTTTAAACAGTGGTGTTGGTGCAGGTGAGCTGAGTGATGTGGAGCGATGAGGCGTGCGGACTCACCCTCTTCCTCAGGTTGTAGGTGAGCACCAGGTTTCTGGCGAAGTGATTTGCGAAGGAGGAGTAAAACTCCAGGACTTTCTGCAGCGCGTCTCGTTTGATGATGTGGAGGTCGCAGTAGGTCAACGCCCGCACGTTAGCGCACGACTGTGCCAACGTCATCTCCTTCCAGAACACGTCGCCAAACACATCGCCTTTACCTGCAGACACACAGAGAGACAGGTTACAGCCTCACCTTCACAGCGTTTTAACAGCCGATCTGAGGAGTCGAATCATCCGTATGAAGCTCTGAAACTTCTGCAGACTCATCGTCTCCTCCGCTCCACATCTGTATCAGTAATACGTTCCAAAACTTTCACATCTTCACCAAAATACATTTTAATGTAATTTTTCCAGAGGAGTTTTTGGAGCTTTGAGGATTAAAGTACACAATCAGTGTATTAAGTCACATTTTGGGACCCACTCAGTTCATGGACACACAACAGGCCAAAAACAACATGCTGGGCTTTTCGTGTTGAGTCAGCTGAGAGTAAAAGCCACAGAATAAACCACAGATACAGAAACATAGATGTGTCATTGGCTGCTGGATCGTACCTCAGCGGTGCTGCTGTATTGCAGAGGTTGTTTACAAAGTGTCGACAGAAATAACCAAGTTCAATTTCACACTTTTTAAAGCCTTTTTAACACACACACACATTATATATATATGTGTGTGTGTGAGACACGTGTAGCAGTACATGAAACAATGACAACAGTTGGGTGAGTTTAAGTTTACTGTAAAAAGAAAACAGAATCTCATCGCTGTCATAACGGCTATTTATTACTGAGAGTCTTCAATCTGTCAAATCAGTGATTGTACACAGTAAGACTTTTACACCTGAGCATCTGATTTAAACGTCAGCGCTGCAGGAAATATCCATCAAGAACCCGAACATGTGACAACGTGGTGAAATAACAAAGCTGCCTTTAGTTTGATGTTTTATCTACAGATGAGCTTCAGTAAGAAGACACATGTAAAATGTGTGTCTGAAACAGGTTCACTTTAGTGTCAGGAATTAACATGATGGAGGAGAACAACACACAGCATCTGATATCAACGTCCAGCTGGACATTAGAGAGTTTCACAGCTTCCTCAGAGCATCATGTGACTGAACACATCAGGTCTGTTTCTGTGGTGAAACGTCAGACTGATCTCTCAGTTTGATCTTCTATAAAAACAATCAGATAAATGACGACATGATGAACGCTGTCATTAACGGTGCGGTGGTGAATACACACAATCATCAGAGGGAAGGTGAGCGTCGACGCAGCTGCTTTCAGAAAACATCAGTGTTCATGTGAGAAGAGGAAGTGAAGCACACGGACTTTAACTAGTTCCTGATGTGATGTGAACGGTGAGGCTCAGAGTGTTTCTGCAGTCTAAACATTTATCCAGACAGGAAGTGAAGCTGATAAAACGTCTCTTGTGGCGATTATCTGAAGTCAAAGCAGATATCTAAAGGACAGAAACGAGTCACTGAGAGGCCGTCAGCACCTCTCACTTCCTCTCAGCAGCTGGACCAGTGAGCAGCGAGAGAACCTGGCTGCCATCTTGGCTCCAGTAGTGCTGTGTTCATATTCTACTTATTGTAACAACAGTCAGCTGAAACATACCTGCTGTATCTCCCAGTAACGACTGTGGTGTTCACAGACACCTGGTCGCGAGATCATTATATAACCCAGTATGATTCAGTCAGTCATGTCTGTATCTGGGCTTAAACTCTGTTTATTTGACACCAGGAGTCAGTGAGGATAACATGCAGGAATTATGTGTCACTGATCCCAGGTCGGAATAACAGGAGGTTTCTCTGCTCTGCTGAAATCAGACTGTACTTCCATATTTTCACCTTTTCACCTGTTAGAGCTGCAACTAACTAAAATAATATCACAATATTTCAGGTTTTTTTTGATGACGATATTCTTAATGAAACAACAAATTAGTAAAAATAATATGTTATTATTAATTTCAGAACATAGCATTGCAACAAAATAAGTGATATAGTTTTACAGTTTGCCATCAAAGATTCAGTAAAAACTAGAGATGTACAAAGTTGGATTTTGGCCTGTACTCAATATTTTCCATCTCATTTTGGCTCGTTGCCGACACCAATACAAAATGTGCTCAAATGTTTTCCCACCCAACTGCAGAGAACCTCAAGTCTCTCCTGTAGTGGAATTGACAGTTTATTATACTCTTGTTTGTGGTGGCCCTGGTGTCACAGCAGACATAAAATACAAAAACATGACATACTTATCTTTATGTAACATTTTCAAAGTAAACTGTAAAACTCATCCCTCTTAAACAGGCTTTGGATGATGGTCTCCAAAAGACAGACCTGACAACAGACAAAACCAGGCAAACCTGACCTGTTTCAACTATTAGAAACATCATCTTCATGGCCTGTCATATTGGCAGAGATCATCATTTCAAGCTGACGCCGATAAATTATTTTAAAGCTGTTATCTGCTGATACTGATGACGTGCTGACACCATCAGGTAACGCTTATGAAAACTAAAATGATGGTTCATGTCTTCAGTTTGTGAACAACAACAGTAACTCAGAGTCAGATTCAGATCCTGTCACAATATTAATAGTTCAACTAAATCAAATCTACCACTAATTACACATTTAAACAAATGTCCCCTGGGATCTATATATATAAATCAACAGCTGATTTACTTCTCTGTTTTTATGCTCTGCCATTTCTCCTCTAACCAACAGGCTGTAACCTGTGACAGGCTGTTATGAGACAGTCACATATATGGAGTTTATTCACGTAGGTTTCCATCAGCAAAGGTTTGTGACAGAATCACTTGAGGAAAGTGTCACATTTATCTTGCAAGTGTACTCTTCTTCATCGTTTGTTTTACTTCCTGGATTTTTCCCACATGGAAATTGGGAGCTGCATGTTGAAAAGGTCTTTAGCATGTAGCATTGAGCATGCTAGCTTGTTAGCATGCTACAGTGATATGTGAGTGTTGAACTGTTACCATGTTAGCATGAAAGTGTCTATCCTCCTGAGACCCCAACTTTTGTTTGGTATGCATTTTTACTTTCTCCGAGCTATTTGGGATCAGTAGGACCTGACAGGTATAAAAAACTAAACATTGCTAATGATAACAAAGTCCCAACATCCTCAAACAAGTACTTACTAAATAACGGTGTCTTAGCTTGTCACTGTTGCCAAAATTTGTTTCCATATCAAACTAACAAACAAGTGTCAACTATAACACCTGATCGGGTTTGGACCTCGTCCACTTTTGTGTCTGATCAGCTGCAGACTGACTCGGCAGAGATGGCTGCCATCTTGTTTTTACATGGATTAGTGTATTGTGCTCTTACTACCACTGGATGGCACAAAGAAAGTGTCCACGAATGAGGACAACAGGTCTGAGTTCAGTAGAATAAAGTACAAGGCACAATAAATCCAAAATATGACGTCCTCATGTGAAGACGCAGGGTGGCAGGAGGATGTTTTTATCAGTGACAGTGTGACGTGAGGTTAATGCCTGTTTGCAAGCCGACATTATGTCAGGATGTTACAACAACATGTAAAGTCCATGCTAATGTTAGCATGTTAGCAAAATCAGAGGATCACCATGGTGATTAGGATTCATCCCCTGGAGAGCATGAACGTGTGAATCACAGTTCATGTTGTTGACATTTTAAACAGACTGACAGTGAGACGTCATCATGTTTGATGCAAACAAGGAGCTGAGTCTCTGCCCGCACGCTGCCTCACAGTATTGCTTCATCATATATAAATATAAATGTGTGTGTGTGTGTGTGTGTGTGTGTGTCTCAGGGAGCTCTTAAAGAGCTCAGAGGTTTGGTGAACACGCAGAGTGAATTGCACAATGACTCTGACAGCTGTTCTTTGAGCCGTGCTCCGCCTCGACAGCTTCCTCCATCATCTTTCACTCTTTCTGAACCGGTGAACGCTCTCCCTCCATCAGCCCCAAAAACACACACACACCAGGCAGCATGATTCAAAATGAAGCCAAACACTTCATGCATAAAACTGATGCTTTGCTAATGAGAGCCCCGGAGCATGATTCCTACGCACGCTGACAAAAATAGCAAACACGTTTGGTTTTGATGCAGCGAGGAGGCAGCGGAGCGTCTGTGTGTTTCTCTGTGTGGCAGGTGACTCTGCAGGCTTCGCTCTTTGTGTTTCAGAGCTCAGGTGTTTCCTCCAGAGTCAGGCGGGGTCAGCCGGCAGCAGCAAAAACACAGTTTCAATTCTCCGCCTCGCATCCAGACTAAAACCCTGACATTTCATTTTGTTCCAGCCGAGGGAGCTTTTATAACCCTGAGACAGGCCTGACAGGCAGAACTGGACTGTTTCTAACAGGAAGTCTCTTATTTTAGTAAAGACACCTGACAACTGGACGGGAACTAAGCGTGCTGTTCAGGAGGCTGGAGGAAACACTGTAGGACACAGAACTGACTATGAAGGATTGTGTTAGGTGTTTGTATCTCTTTGCCACGTGACCTGGATGAACAACAGGAAGTTTGTTGTCACAGGTGGGAAAACACGTAGGGCAGGTCATCAGATGGTTTATTAGAAAAATCTGAAATGTGAACAGCTGCTGTGTTTGAGTGGTTTACTCATACGACCTATCATCAGGAAACTACGCACCGTGCCGTTCGATTGATGCGGACCATTTTAAAATACAACTTCCACAGCAGGTTCAATAAACACTTTCATCACACAAACAACAAACAAAAAAACATCTATAACTAACCTGTGAAGTGTTATCATAATCAACAGATCGAAAATATTAAAATCCAGTAAAATATTTCATTCAAACACATGATTACATACACAGATATCCACACACTGCACCATCTCAAACGTACATATTTCTCCACATACGTTGCATAATAAATTCATTTTGCACGTAAACATCATCGAAAGCTGGGTATGGAAACTGACCCCTGACCTTTTGATTGACACCTCACCTGAGCCAATAGGAGCCTCCCTGTCCTCTCCACAGCCTACAGTAGCCAACGAGGGCCTGCGTCACTTCTAAGGTTACAGAGCCAATCAACAGCCAGTGATTGGCCCGATGGTTCGTGGGTCTTGCAGTCAATCAGTCCATTTCCAGTCACAGTGAAGTGGAGCTACAGTCCCAGCTGGACGAGGACATCTAACTGGCCTACTGTCCTTGTCCCAGTATACAAGCACAGGAGGGGAATCCATTTATTGAGCCAAGTATGTGCGACTCCTCTACGATAGGTGGAGATATGCCCCCTTTCAGCTTGTTAGTATTGGACCTTTTTCCTGTTGACCTATTACGTCACAGACCAAACAATGGACAAACAAGTTAGCTACGGTTAGCTATAGGGCTGGGCTGTATGACAAAATTTTCATATCACGTTTTGTTTTGTTTTTTTTAAATCATATTGGTTTCAAGGTATGTGACGGTATTTTGCTCAGGTTCGGCCCACTTGACATGCTGCTGTTGTAAAAGGGGTAAAGCGGTTGCGGAAAATGAAAGAATAAATAGTTCACTGTTTGATTACATCAAGTAAAAACTAATAAAAAGCATTTATCTACCACTCTTACTGTTTTTATTTTGAGGTCTCTGCTCATGCGATGTGAGGATTTCTGTTTCATCTGATTTTCTTTTGACTGAAAACAAAGTTTGAGGTAAAGACAAAACATTTGGCTGTAAAACATGATGGGAATAAAGAGCTGAGCCGGTGAAGCGTCTCTGATGTATGGAGAGTATCCGCTCAGACTCAGCATCATTAAAGCAGAAATGGAAGGAAACATAAACAGAGTTTCCACCTCATGATGAATCAGCACTGTGAGCTGCTGTCACTGAGACCAACAACAACCAGACTGGGACTGAAGTGATGCTGACGGAGCCCGGCCCCCAAAGACAAACTCAGCTCCCAGATGATCCATCAACACTGGTCTCAGTTTGTAACGGCAGAGTGCATGAGTCACTCAGCTGGAGCAGCTCAGAATCACACTGATGAGAGGAAATAAGAGCGACTCATCGATTATATTTATTCTGTCTTTGTTACATTCTCTCTGTGAGATTTAACCTGTAACCCTGCTCCTCTGGAGATCTGTTTGTTTGTTTGTTTATTTGGATCCCCATTAGCTGCAGCATGGCATGTCAGAACCACACTCACCTAAAATGGCCACCACCTCATCGTCCTGGATGACCTCCAGTGACCCCGACACCACGAAGCAGAGGCTGTCCACGCTCTCTCCGGCATGGAAGATGAGGTCACCTGGAGCGCTGTGGACGGTCTGGAACTCCATGGCGAGGGCTCGCAGGCAGCCGTCACTGGCCAGTCGGAACGCTGGGTGTTCCTTAAACACCTTCCTGTTGAGGTGGACGCAGATGTCCGCTCGCATGTCCTTCGGACAAATCTGCAGAACCTGCGAATGCAGAGGTCACACTGAGGTCACACAGAGGTCACACTGAGGTCACACTGAGGTCACACAGAGGTTATACTGAGGTCACACTGAGGTTATGCTGAGGTCACACTGAGGTCAAATTAGGGCTGGTTATTGTTTCACAGTACTCCTAAAGAGATATTAACAGAGCACTTCATTTGATGCCCATCATGTTTATGGAAGCACTTCCTTCTGTCAACCACAGGCGTAAAACATGGTCATACTTTCAAACATTTTGGCCACATCTCGGCACACTGAAGTGCCAAATCTGTAAATACAGCGCACTTGATTTCGCCACACCACAGGCTGTAAGGGCTGTGGCTGCTGCGGAGTCTGTGAAGCACTGATCACCTGACTGGATTAATAAGATTTGAGAGGGTGTGGCAGGCCTCCACCCTGCCTGTGACATCACAGTGTGGAGGACCTGAGCAGGCGGTGAGGTGTTACCTTGTCAGTGTCGATGCCTCTGGACATGGACCAGGTGGACACGATGTAGTCCATCACCCGCTCGCTCAGGCCTTTGGGGACCTGGTAGAGTTTGAGGAAGTCTCGCACACTGTTGAGCATCTCGTGGTAGCGGTTGGTGTTGGCGTACATCTGCTGGAAGATGGTGGTGACGTTACCAAAGATGGTGGCGTACAGCAGCGCTGTCAACAGGAAGCAAACAATGTTTAGGGTTGTGTTGTTAACCTTCTCAACACAGTGTATAAAGATGTATAGATATTTTTTGGATGATTCATCCACAGTCGTCCGTCTGACTGAGATACACATGTTCACAAAATCATACATTAAAATGTTACTTTGACAAAGAACGTTTGATTTTCACACGAAGTTGTACGGACTCCCTCACTGACGAGAAGAAAATAATCATCTCATGATATTTATCTTTATATCTCATCTGTTAAACGACCGCACATCTCTTTATCATCCAATCACCGCTTCACCTGAAACTGCTCTGCAGAGATCAACGTACATACAAGATATCTCAGGTTCTCTCAAGAACAACAAAATGCCTTCAATTTATAGACTCTTTAACTGTTAGTAAACAGTGTGATGTTTGTTGGTGGGCGGGGCTTAACTGGAGGCAATACAGTTCTCCACAGACATTAGCTAGCGCTAGCTAACAAGTTGTGTTGTCTTGTTTTAGACGATGGAGGAAGATGATGTGAGTGGTGCGTTCAGAAACACTCATTGTGAGTGTGGGAGCGCACTCTGACACAAACTGGAGCGTTGATAAATTGGGAGCGCTGTCTGAATGTAGCGTTGGGTTATCCAGAGCAGCGCACTCTCAGAGTGGCAGAGCGCACTCTGGACACTCT